TCTGGACAACATGTTCATAAACACATTTTAAAATACAATTTGCTTCATGCTTGCTTTTGGACATGACACTATCATACTTGCAATAAGTTGATTTTCTTTACTGAATATGAGACAGTAGAAAAGATTAAAATAACACACTGTATAAAAAAAGAAAACAGTTATATTTGATCCCATTCAGGTCCCAGTTTCGCATGTGTCTTCATGTGTATTCTGTCCAATCAGGAGTATTGTGAGCATGTGAGAGGTGACCATTGTGTAATCAAGTGGGAATACTCTGCTCATGGCATGGTAAAATGGGGGAATGAGAGAGTGGAATGAAAAGTGTTTTATTCAATTTCAGCTTGCCAGGACTTACCGAACTGTTGTGTTGGTTGCCTGGTAACTGTAATACTCGGATATACAAGTGCACAGAGTGTAGTGAATAAGACTCCCACCATTTTTGTCTTTTTTTTCCCCCTGCTTGTGTTCTCTCTTACTTTCTCTGTGTCTGCCTATAGCTGTATATATACTGTAAATTCAGCTGTTGTTACCAGTGAATAGTTGTAAAACCGTATATTTCATCTTTCGTCTTCAGGACCTGTCTTTTTTTTTCTTCCTGGGTATTGACTGGGAGAGATCACAGAGCCACAGTTGTGACAGGGAACTCATACCTTGACAGCAGGGATGAAAGGCAGGAATAGAGCGAGGTCAGACTTTGCTGAGGGAATATTTCACAAAGCCATCAGTCTCATGTAGAAAGCAGTGTTGGTAGAGATGTGACACCCGCTGCCCTGTTTCTCTGTCGGCCCCTCTCCCTCTTGACCAGTGACACAGCAGCAAGGTGTGGATTTTTTTTCTGAACGCTTGTCTGTGTGTGCATTTGTGTGTAAGACAGGAATAGTGTAGTTTTTTTATGTTTTTTTTTTTTTTGTCATTTGCCCCCGAATATACTGTGATGCTGAAGACCAGAAAATGTGGGCAAATTAACTTAAGTGACAAGTCACTAAAAGATCACAGGAAATTATCAGTCTCTCTCTTTCACCCCCTCATGCTATCTATCTTGCACCCTGGCGAGCTGTGAAATAGCACTAACAAAACATAATCATCTCCATCAGCTACTGAGAATTGGCTATCAAGATTTGATGGCTCTCAAATATAAACAAACAATATGTATATGAGTCAGAAGACTGTCCGGCAGCTGGCTTATATCTCCAGGCGTGCTTTCACAAGTACTTTTTGCTCCCTCTCCGACAATGAATTTCAGCCTATTTACAGTATGTTTATCAGCCAAAATTGAAAATTCTATATTTGTTGCGTACAGGGAGAGAGTGATTTATTAATCTGTAATCGAAAAGAAAGCACAGTATTTTTTTATAACCCGCAGACTCGGCACCTGCGGTTATATTCTCTTTGTTCTTCCTCTCTCATTCTTTTTCAGGGGCTGTCTCTTAGAGCTGCACAGGTTTTCAGGCTCACTGGAGGCATTCCAATAGATCCATCAATTTGGCAAAGCAGTGTGTGTGAAGCATAAGAGTCATTCCCTCGGGATACACACGCAAATACGCAGACACACACGCGCGCTAATAGACAATCTATGTTGTTTATTTGGCTCTCTTCTGTGTTTTTACCGGCAGGAAGTCTCAGAGGTGACGCTCTTGTTGCTGGTTAGGTCGTCTGTGTTGTGGTTCCCTTTGTGTTTTTACACGGCTGTATATCAGCCTATATGGTTTTCACCAAGCTGCTTGTTGAACCCTCCCATATCGTGGCATATTCTCTGCTAGACGACGGTCCTGTCTCTGCTTCCCCTCTTTGATTACAGTGCTGTCAATCACACCCTACTATGATGGTGCACCAGTGTGTGCATGCATGACTAGTCTGTCCTGAGAACAAAGGCGTCAGTTGCGGATTGTTGGAATCAGGTTTTGTTGTTGTTATTGTAGTTGTTGTTTTAGTTTTAATAAAATAAAAAATAACAACTTATTTCAATTGTATTGCTTTAAAATGAATCATTTGCACTTAGCCTGTGTAATAAAAATATGTAACCTATTATTATTGCATGTTATTAGTGCTTGCTTATGTGCGTCTATGACAGCGCTACATATGCTCAACATGTAATATGGTATTTTGTGGTTGAACTTATTAACCTCACAGAAAGTTACAATCATTCCTCCATAATTTTTGACACTGTGTCTTGAAAGCATTTTGCTCAGCTGCTTTAGATAAAGTGCCCAACAGCCTATACAAATGGTGACTGTGGCTGTAGGTGTTTTTTCTGGTATCAAATGAATTCAAACAAGTTATTAAAAACAGGAATTAGTCTCGTTAAGCCTTATTTTTAAACTACAGGAAATTCACCTATTTAGTAGGGATGTCCCGATCCAGCTTTTTCACTTCCAATCCGATACCGATATTACAGCCTTGAGTTTTGGCCGATAACGATACCGGTCCGATCCAAGCACGTATTATACACATTCACTTATTTTGTTGTCAGTCATGTTAGAAAAGGTTTGATCAAGCGATATTACTCTAACAAGAACAACTACTTAATCAGGTTAGTTAGAATGATCCACAACAGTTGGTTTGAGAAACTGACCTGTTTATTGTTAACAAGGTTAATAAACAAACTTTAAACTTGAACATTAACATTAAATAAAAAATAAAGCTGGTTTAATTTGGCTGCTTTGGCCCCTTAATAAATAGAAAATAAATCAACACAAGAAATCTTTAAAATGTCTAACATTGAAATTAAAATAGCAGCAAGACTCCACACACTTGTGCTTTGGCCCCTTAATAAATAAAAAATAGATTAACAAGACATTGTTGACATTTAACAAACAATGCAGCCTTTCCTTTTCAGTTATTTTAGTAGTGTTTTTGTAGTCCATCCATGGCTCCAATTTCACTAATTGTGCCCAAAACAATGTCATCAGTGCTCTTTACTTAAACAGTACGAGTGTAAACCAAATAAAAATATCACTCTCAAAAAACCAGAGCAGAAAACAAATAGTCAGTTAACTAAATTGACCGCTACTCTTCCTACCCTCTGTGTATCTGCCGTCTGCATGCTGGCCTGGTGGATTGATAGTAAGAGCTGGAGCGGATCACTGGAATGGACTGCTTGAATCGTGCTCTGGGCTGGTCGGAAAACCTGGATCGGACTCCATGAAAAACTTCTTGGATCGGCATTTTTCCATGCAGTCCGATCCAATGCCGATGCACGTTTTTTGCTAATATCGGCGGCCGATACAGATCCGAATATCGGATTGGGACATCCCTACTATTTAGTGCCAAACTTGCCTTTTGTTAGCTTTGGTTTGAACACCTTTTGGCCCAACACATTGTCACACCCAACTCGTCAAGTCCAGATGCTTGGTCAGTGGCCCCACAAGTCAACCTAAATGTGCTTTCACACCTGCCCTGTTTGGTTCGGTTCAGTCAAACTAAAGTTCGTTTGCCCTCTAAGTGTGGTTCCTTTGGGCAGGTATCAACACAGCAATTGCACTCAGGTGCGCACCAAAACAACCGGACTGAGACCTATTTGAAGAGGTGGTCTCGGTCCGGTTACAAACAAACTCTGGTGTGGTTCGTTTGTGGTGAGAACGTGTTCCGACCGACGTGTTTACGTATTGTTTGGGTTAAACATGAGCATGTTACAGTCCTGGAGGATTATTAATGTGCAAACATTGTTTTCTAGTTGGAGCCGCGCCTCGTTTTCAAACTGTATGGTTTGACTAAAATGAACAATGACAGCAATATAGTCCACGATGACCAGCGCTAAAATCAACCTGCGTAGCTGTCCTTCCATTGTGACATTAGAAAGTGTCACATTTATCTTGCAAGTGTACTCTTCTTGAATGTTTTGTTTACTTCCTGGATTTTTCCCACATGGAAATTCTGACCAATAAAGAGCAGCTTTCTCACGCAAGACATTTTATTTGGTCCGTTTGTAAATGCTGCCGTGAGAACATGAACCAGCTCTCAGCAATTATGCAAATTTGTAACAAAATTAATCCCTGATTTGGACCAAAGCAAGACAACTCTAGCTCTGAAAGCAGCCCTAAAATGCTTTTTAAACCACGGTAGGAGCCTGAAGCGTCAAAAAAAATTCCACCACCCGGGGAGTCTCTTACCGCCGCTAAAGGGTGGCTTGGTGCATCAATGTAGGAGGCCAAGCATTGGCATTGGACGAGTTGGGACCGAGACCAGGTTGCTTGGTCACCTCCTAGAAATGAGCATGTAATTCAATGCATTTCTTTGTTTTTTAAACAAGTTTAAACAAATGACCAATAATAATTGGACCTGCGCTCTCTGTGCATGCAAACATGCATACATGCAAATATTAGGCATTGAAAATGTGAGAGATCTATATGTCTGTTAAAACAGTTTTCAGTAGCATAGTAGGTCCTCAGAGTCATGTCATATAACATACATACCTTTCAATGAAGCACTGCCCCCACCTGACCACACACACGCATTTATAGACAAATAATTACTCTCTGTATGTTTACATAAAACTGAAGCCAAACAGGCATCAGCTAAACAAACAAGAAAATCAGTTGTAAAATGTTCATAAAGTCTGTAATTTCCACTGGAAATCAAACGAAGCGCAGCCTTCACTCATCAACAACATGATATCTACAGTATGCCCGTGTCCTTATGGGCCTTACAAGCTCATTAGAAAGCAACAAGCTTCCTTGCATGATCCAGATGATGTGACGCTACTAATTAAAAGGTGCCACACTGTAAGGTCTCAATTTGCTGATGAGCTAAATCAGGACATTCTCTTTCAGGGTTGAATGATCGGAGGGTTTCAGCACTCTGTGATTGACATTCAAGATAGAGACAATGCTGTTACCGCATGTACGCAGCAGATACAGGCGCACTGCTCTTCCCTACAGTTATCTAATCACTTGCTCTGTCTTCTGTCTTTGTTCCTCTTTTTTTTTTTCCCCTCTCTTTTTTCTGGCGTCTGCCTTCTCTTGCTGTCCATCCAACCTCTCTTTTCTACTTGGGGGCTCCAGTGATGGCTTCAAAAGGCAAAGCTCGAGGTAAGTCATGGCTGCATTTGCCTGCTGTGCCTCTGACTCAGCCTTACAAAACTAACATCAGTAAAGTAAAACTGTATTTACTTTTTTATTTTGAAAAAATATAATTGACTGAAGTCACGCTTGTTTGCTTTTATTCTCTTGATTGTTTGTTTTGTTTTGAAAGGTTTTTGTCAGAGTAATTTCAAATTTCATTTCAGCTTTCAAATAGCTGTTTTGTTTTAATGGTTTTTTAGCTGTATTGTCATAAATACATTAACTACACTATGCATTGTTTGCTACCCAAAAAGTGAAAACCATGACTCGGACAAAATGATTTGCTGAACGTTTTGTAAAGCACCACCACCACATGAAGCTCATCTTATATTCATAGATATTTTTTTCCCTTTTTTGCTTGTAAATTATTTAAGCTCATAAACTCTAAAGAGCACAGTCCAAGGTCATACGATTAATAATCAAGTATTTAATTGTGTGATATTGCCCTTTACCATTGCCAGGCACTGGAGAGGTGGCAGTAAATTACAGTGATCAAAATCTTCTCCATCATTCCATGTGTCTGCAAGACAGCAGTGAGAACGGATTATAGATCAGAGTGAGTCGGAGAGCAGAGAGGGAGAGTGTTTATTTGAGAGGAGATAACCTGATTTCATTCAGCTGTGTGCTTCAGTAAATATGCCTCTCAAAACTAAGAATTTAGTCAACCGTGACTATAATCTCATTCTGTTTAGTTAGCATCGTTGGCTAATGATTATAGAAGCACAGGTCCTGAATACTGTCACATTCCTGTGCGGGGGTGTGATGACAAGTCAAATGAAAGGATAGACATCAGCTCAAAAAGGGCATACCTAACAAACGTCTGCACATCAAATTGTATTATCAAGTACTATAATTGGTGGGATGCAGCGTTTTTAGTTATTGATGGAAGTGATTCTAGGTATGTGTTAAACTGTTTTCCTTAAACATGCAGAATCTGAGCCAAACATGAAAATAAAAGTAGACTGGAGCTTCAAAGCTTTCAAATTCTAAATCAACATTTGAATGCTGTTTAAAATAAGTGTTTCTGCACAGTTGCAGATAAAGATTATGCTACACAAATAAGACGCGTAAGTGTGGTTTGCCGAAATAATTACATTCTTCTGCAGCCAATAGGTGTGATCATGTATTTCAAGGAGGAGGAATTTCTTTGTAACATAGCTCAACATGTTACAGGAGTCAAAAGATTACAGACTGGCTGCAGATAATGTAAACTGTACCCAACTTTTAGTTTGATCACATTTGACCTTTCCTTTTGTGATGGTCCGACAAGCTGTCGGAGTAAGCATGGAGCCCACACTGTAACTAACTGCACTCCCTGAAGAAATATCATATTTTTGGAAAAATGAAACAGTGATTCCAGAGAGAAGCAGACAGAGGGGTCTACAGTCTGTGTTTGAAGGATATATCCAGGATGTCAAACTGACTCAGCAGCAACAACAGGTTAAAAAGACAAAGATAGTTAGAAGCTAAAGCCGAACTATAGGCTACAGATCACAGTGTAAAAGTGAACCACCACATCACTGCTGATCGCCACACAAGACAATGAATATAAAGGGAAACTTTGCTGATATTGAACCAGCTGTGTGGCATCACAGTGTGTGCAGATGAGCAGTGTTTGGGCTCGCCCCCATGCCGCTGCCAGCATCCGGACCCCCGCCACCGTAGGGGCAGGGATCTCGGGGGAGTCAAACACCATTCATCTGTGCACAATGCGATGACACACAGCTGGTTGAATATCAGCAAAGTTTCCCTGCTTCCCTTCACTGGTTCCTGTACAGCAGGGTCGGTCATTTTTTCACTGTTATAATCATTAAAAAGCAAAAGCAGCATGTGTATACATTCAGTAGGATATATCTTCAGTAGCTAGTGAGCTAACCCTTCTATTTTCAGGGTTTGATTTTGATTTTGGAACAGGGAAGAAAAATGTATCTTTAACCAACATTTCCAGGTAACAAGTATCATTAATACACGACGTGCCCCAGGCTCAACATGTAGCTCCAAATCCACAAAACCAGCCTGAAAATGAAGGAAATCTGAAACGATTGCATTAGAGTCAATGGAGCACAGCTGTGTTGTTGTCGAACCCTGGTCTGAGCCGGCCCAATGCTACATTATGATTGGCCAGTCTATGTCCAGGGGGGGACAGCTTTCCGTAGACATTGCATGGCAGCTGGCTGCAGGCCGCACTACACCGGTGTTTGGTGTGTTCTTGGCATCCAAAAATAACACTTTCACTGTGCTCAAAAAGCGTTGCTTTCCTGCTTGCTTGGTCCAGCAGCAATCTTACAGCTCCATAAATCACATTAATTCATCAAAGAAAGTTGATTTAATTAAAAAAAAGAGACTTAAAATCTTGGCAGAGTGATGACATCATAAGATATAATGACAGACATTCAGAGTTTCATATGAAAACCTCAATAGAAGCTTTAAATGTAAAGAAAGACTAAGATTTGGTATAGCCCCTACACATATATGAAAATATATGTAACAAATCAATTTTTTTTTTTTTTTTTAAAAAAGCCAGTTAAAAAACCCCACTGCATGTACACACCTTGATCCAAATTAAATATGCTATCTATTAAAAAAAATTGAATCCAGTTGACAGATAAAAAAATCTTTGTGTAAATGCTCTTTCCAATTACTTTCTGTTTTCAGAAAATCTATACCCTTTCTGCACATGCTCATCTAGAGGAGTTCAAAGCGTTCCCCTGCAAAGACGCACCACACTCTTCCATTGTTTGACGTTTATGATAGGGGTGTAACGGTACACAAAAATCACGGTTAGGTACGTACCTCGGTACACAAGTCACGGTTAGTTTTTTTTCGGTACAGTAATGAAAAAAATAGACAACTATTAAATATCTTTTACATATTGGTAACCTTATTAAAACATACCACCACAGCAGTTAACTCTTTTTACACAATTTTTGAATGAAACAAATACAGTACAGGCCAAAAGTTTGGACACACCTTCTCATTAAATGCGTTTTCTTTATTTTCATGACTATTTACATTGTAGATTCTCACTGAAGGCATCAAAACTATGAATGAACACATGTGGAGTTATGTACTTAACAAAAAAAGGTGAAATAACTGAAAACATGTTTTATATTCTAGTTTCTTCAAAATAGCCACCCTTTGCTCTGATTACTGCTTTGCACACTCTTGGCATTCTCTCCATGAGCTTCAAGAGGTAGTCACCTGAAATGGTTTCCACTTCACAGGTGTGCCTTATCAGGGTTAATTAGTGGAATTTCTTGCTTTATCAATGGGGTTGGGACCATCAGTTGTGTTGTGCACAAGTCAGGTTAATACACAGCCGACAGCCCTATTGGACAACTGTTAAAATTCATATTATGGCAAGAACCAATCAGCTAACTAAAGAAAAACAAGTGGCCATCATTACTTTAAGAAATGAAGGTCAGTCAGTCCGGAAAATTGCAAAAACTTTAAATGTGTCCCCAAGTGGAGTCGCAAAAACCATCAAGCGCTACAACAAAACTGGCACACATGAGGACCGACCCAGGAAAGGAAGACCAAGAGTCACCTCTGCTTCTGAGAATAAGTTCATCCGAGTCACCAGCCTCAGAAATGGCAAGTTAACAGCAGCTCAGATCAGAGACCAGATGAATGCCACACAGAGTTCTAGCAGCAGACCCATCTCTAGAACAACTGTTAAGAGGAGACTGCGCAAATCAGGCCTTCATGGTCAAATAGCTGCTAGGAAACCACTGCTAAGGAGAGGCAACAAGCAGAAGAGATTTGTTTGGGCCAAGAAACACAAGGAATGGACATTAGACCAGTGGAAATCTGTGCTTTGGTCTGATGAGTCCAAATTTGAGATCTTTGGTTCCAACCGCCGTGTCTTTGTGAGATGCAGAAAAGGTGAACGGATGGATTCCACATGCCTAGTTCCCACTGTGAAGCATGGAGGAGGAGGTGTGATGGTGTGGGGGTGTTTTGCTGGTGACACTGTTGGGGATTTATTCAAAATTGAAGGCACACTGAACCAGCATGGCTACCACAGCATCCTGCAGCGACATGCCATCCCATCCGGTTTGCGTTTAGTTGGACGATCATTTATTTTTCAACAGGACAATGACCCCAAACACACCTCCAGGCTGTGTAAGGGCTATTTGACCAAGAAGGAGAGTGATGGAGTGCTGCGGCAGATGACCTGGCCTCCACAGTCACCGGACCTGAACCCAATCGAGATGGTTTGGGGTGAGCTGGACCGCAGAGTGAAGGCAAAGGGGCCAACAAGTGCTAAACACCTCTGGGAACTCCTTCAAGACTGTTGGAAAACCATTTCAGGTGACTACCTCTTGAAGCTCATGGAGAGAATGCCAAGAGTGTGCAAAGCAGTAATCAGAGCAAAGGGTGGCTATTTTGAAGAAACTAGAATATAAAACATGTTTTCAGTTATTTCACCTTTTTTTGTTAAGTACATAACTCTACATGTGTTCATTCATAGTTTTGATGCCTTCAGTGAGAATCTACAATGTAAATAGTCATGAAAATAAAGAAAATGCATTGAATGAGAAGGTGTGTCCAAACTTTTGGCCTGTACTGTATATATAAAAGCCTGCTTTTTCACATTGTTTGAATGAAAATAGAAATATAAAAGTGAAAATAAAATCCTGCTGTTTTTTTTAACACATTTTTTGAATGAAAAATATAAATATACATTTCTGCTTTAACAGTTTTACTCAATTAAAATAAAAAGTATAGTGCAGCTGGTCAGTTTTAAAGCCTGCTCAGATTCAGTTTTACTAGGAACTTACTTAGCTTTCCCACTTTGTTAAAGTGCAGTAAACAAAACATGCTTATATCTGAAGTGCAGCCTAAACAATTTTACTCAACTCCAATGGCGTTGATTATTTCTTTAGCGCCATGGTCAGGGAAACGCTCTTTCTTTTTAAACAACGACGATATCGTAGTTTGCACCAGATTGCTTTTTCTAGTCG